TTTTTTTAATTAAATAGTGAAATACATGAAAGTAGAATTAGTGATGAATGAGCGCATTTAACACTTTTTAATACTGGATTAACCTACCTTTTTTTTTGAAAATAAATGCAAAAATGGTTGTAGTTTTAGCAGCAGTAGCAGCACTTAGTAGGTGCTGTTGTTGTTGTTGCTATTGTAATCGTCAAGTTCCGCAGCCGAATAGCAGTTGAACGAAGTAGATGATAGTTTGTAGAAATAGAAGTCTGTTTGTTAGCTGGTGGCGAAGGGAGTAAGGATGAATGAAGAATGGAGATCACTTGTCACAAATTACTTTTGCTTGAGTGTTGTGTAAATTTACACAATTCAATTGCACTTTATCATTTTCAATTTGCGCAATAGACTTAAGCAGCTGCACAACTGCTGTAAGCGCGCAAACACACTAACGAACGTTGGGCGACGGGCTAGGAGCAAGGAGCCAGCAGCGAAGAGCGACGAACAACGGATCATAGACAACTGCACACACACTCACACGCAAGCAGCTGTTAAACACTAAAAGTATGCAATTGATTTTTGCATGAAAATGCACTTATTTTAGCTTTATTTGCACTTGCACAGCAGACGTTGGCTGGCGTTTGTCAGTTGATTGCAATTTTGCACAATTTGAAGTGATTTTATGTTTTAAGTTTTATGCAATTAAATGTGTGTTTTCTCTCTCTCTTTCTCGCTTGTCTTTTGTGTTGGTTGCTGTTTTTATTACTGTTTCAATCCTTTTTCAATATTAATTTACACACGTTTTAATTGATAATATTAAAGTACTGAAGTTAAAGTTGTGAAAATGGGATGTGAAAATCTTTTTATTCCAAATACAATTTATTAATGTTGCAATTCTCAATATGACAACATTTTTAATTGTATTGACACAACAGTTAAAATACAATTTACATACAAAACGGAAACCGGAAATTGCTTGATTTTTTAACACAGGCAACGTTATGGTTTTCTGGTTTTCATACAACTTGTTGTTATTTGGCCAATTTTTTATATGAAACTTTTATTTCAATTTCAATCCTTTTTGTATATGACAAAAAAAAACAAAAAAAAAAACCAACCATGCAATCAAAACCGCAAATAAGTGAGGCTAGTGAGGCTGGTGAGGCTAGTGAGCCGAGTGGGCCAGTGAGTTGAGTGAGGCCTATATGCGGTGTGCAACGCTCTTAACGGACTTCACTGTCAGACCAGCGACGCACATGTACGCACTTCACGGACAAGTGCAAAAGGTGTGACAAAAAATGTACATGCAACGTACTTAAAAACGCTTGAAATGCAATTAATTTTGTTTATAAAATTTAATTTATTTATTTTCTATCTATTTTTTTTTCTTTTGTTTTTATACTTGCCAACGACAACAGAGTAATTAATTATTACAGAGTACTGTTATGTGTAGTGCAGTTGGCTTAAGCTGTTTTGTGTGTGAACGTGAGTTTATTATTTATTTTACGCGTAATTGATAAGATTTATTTTTCACTTTTATTTTTTTTTTTGTGTATATTTTTTTTCTTTGCTTCACGATGAACTCAAAAGTTCCGTTGTTTTTTCTTTTTTTGTTTTCAAATTACCAGTTTTAAGTAAATATCTCTACGTCATATGATTTTGTTTATTAACGGGAAAGGTAGGGTGCATTAGTTGTTTATATCAACTCACAAATAAATGTGAAATAAAAGCTTTGATAACTGTTTTAAGAAGTTTACAGTTTACAGTTTACAGTAAGTCAAGTGTCAAGTGTGATTCACTTGACAATTAATTAAAGTCACTAGCTTTTAGTAGGAATGAATCTTTCATTTGCCACGAAATAATATTTTCTTTATTCCAGCTTCCTTTCAGTGTCAATGCCAAAAACACAATATATAGCCAGACATTATATTGCACAGACACAGTCGCACTATGTCACCAACCGGATATTTAAAATGACTTCCGTTTATAAGTAAAGCAAAACTGTCTACTGGGTGCAGCAGCCGATTTTTCCGTTGATGACAACAATTTCTGCTAATTTTATTAATATTGTTATGTGTTTTTTTTTAAATTCAATTGATTAAGTTTAATTATAAATATATATTAAAACCGCAGTACTTTTCAAAATCATTTGGTTATATTTTCAGTGAACTTTTCACACACGCGTTATTGAAACGTTTAAAGTAATCTCCGCTTATACGTCCATTACACACGACAATCGCTCGCAAACTGCTCGACTACTAAATTTCCACGAATTTTGCATGCGCTTTGATTCGCTTTAGAACTTCGAAGCAGTAAAATAGTAAACCAGTAAAGCAG